AATCGAATTCGTTCCGGTTAAATAAAATGCTTAAAACAAAGGAAAAGTTGATTTAATGGACAGAAAATCCATTATAGTAATTAATATGAGGAGATCTGATTCTTCCCCTGAGTTCTTAAATTCAAAAATTCTTTAAAAAATACGAAAAGGAAGGAGATCATGGAGAGATCGACGAATTTAACTGCTATGATCCCAACATTGAAAGAACTAAACAACACATTGCTTAAATCAAAAACTCAAAATTGCAGACAAAAACCTTACAAAATTAAAACAAACTACAAGGAAGAAGGATTAAAGAGAAAACAGAAACTTAGAAAAGCTCGAAATAATGAACAAAATCAACAAGATAACACCTGGGGAACCAAACAAACTAATACATGTTTGGTTGAAGGAGCAGTACTGAAAATCGCAAAAAGGGTTTGAGGGAGAAGGAAGAACAAACTTGGGAGTGCTCTACTTTATAACGAGCTTCTCAAATTCATCATAAGAATTGCACAACTCAATCTCTGTTTTTGCCGTTGGTTCTTCTTCTTCTTCTCGCTTCCTTTCTTCCCTCTCTTAAACAACTTTCCTCCTCTGATTCAAGCAAAGCCAAATGCCAGAATGCACAGAAAGAAACCAATTTGGGTTCCATTGAACCCAGCAGCTGGGTTCAAGAATAAGAGCCAGGCTTGGGGGGGTAGGGGGTAGCCAAGAAAACTATACCCCAAGACAAGGAGGGCAATTGCATTTAAACCCCTCCAACTTTTTAATACAATTCTCATTGCTAGTTGTTCCACAGTATTCACAAGAAGACCTGAAATGAGCTCTCTTGCTGCCAGGATGCCCACAGAAGGAACAATAAGAACACTTTTTCTTTGGTGAGATCTCATCTGAAATAGTTGGGATACCATCCTTGGATTTGATTCCACACTGAAAAAGTGGATTATCCCCATTTCCTATATTGTGTGATCTACAAGAAACATAGTCCCAGCAAGATGAGATAAAATCATTGAATCCTCTTTGCAGCTACAGAAAATAAACATAAGATTCAAAAATTGAGCTAAGAGTATACTTATTCAATATCTCATCTTCGCTAAATCTTTTGACAAAACGAAGAGCTGTTTCAAGGCCAATTCCTTGAACTCCATTTAGATCATGGTCATTTCCAACCAGAAGAGAGATGGCTATCAAGTGTTTCCTCTTGAGTCCAACACCAGCTTCAATATCTGACATATGGTAGCACTCAAATGGTCCCTGCATAAAATGAGATTCCCATATTTGGCAAAGGTTTAACACCTATACGTACACACATAAAGAAATTTCACAAGATTCTTAGGAACTAGCAACAAAATCTTAAGGTAAAACAACCATTTCCCATTGAATTGCATATTTTTCAAACATTTTCTATTCCCCACCTTATCTATTCCAATTTAATCCTCCATTAATTAATTCCCATTCAAAGGATTTTGAGAAACATGCCATCCTATACACACAAACTTATCAATGATTTCTAGCTGACTAGTGTAATAAACTGCATAACCATCATTTGTAAGAGGGGATGCACTGACAGAATATTCACAATTTAAAGGGCTTACAAGACACAAATAAATTCCCACAAAGCGTACTGATATCAACACACACAAACACAAAAAAATGCAGAACAATTTCCCACATTATCAGGATAGATAATAACATGATAGACAAATAAAAAGGAAATAAGGGTCGTTTAAGTCACGATAAAAAGCCAGTACCACTTACTTTTGAGTTGGGCCTGATGCATTTTATTACACATTTAGCCCCAAAGAGAAATGTGTCACTATCAGCAGTGCTGCAGGCATCTACATGACCATCTCTATTCAACTGTGCACACAATGCTTCAGCCTCACCATTTGCTTTCAGTACAGGCATCCCAAATAGTTCAAGGAGTTCCTACAACAAAATAAGCTTTCTAATAACATATATTTGCAATACAACTATCATCCATGCTTTAAATACAAAGTCTACATGTGATTCACACCTAGAAGTTAAAGGTGATTACACAAGATCTCTCCCATGAACTAATGACCAAGCAAGAGTGCACAGAAAAAGATTAAAGCATGACAAACTGATTGTAACAAATTTTTGTGCAAGCTCTACAAAGA